GCAAATGTTTTCCTGCCTGACTGGTTGGAAGCAGTGGAGATTTGTTTAAGAAAACAAAAGGAAATTACAAATCACTCAAAAAACAGAATGGAGAGCTGGGGAGTTAGCTCAGTGGTTCCGCTGCCTGCCTTGCAAGCATAAGGTCCCGAGTTCAATCCCCGGTACCAAAAGAAGAGAATACAATGGAGAGATTAAAGAATATAAGGTTTCCATTAATCCTAGCTTCAAACATGGATGTGTCTCTGATTAGACTGTTCGTTATTGAGATCAGCACTGCTTTTACAATCATAAACATGACAGCTTGCATCATATATGTACAGTAGCACAAAAATGATAAGTCACTTTCTCTTTGGCCACATGCCATATGTAACCTTAGGCATTACTGCAGTTATGAGGAAACTGAGGACCCGAAGGTGAAATCCTGCTTGCAGTTCCTAGAGCTGTGGCCTGGGGAGCCTGGATTTGAGCCCAGGCTTGATCATGGCACACCTTCCTTGTGCTGGCATGGCTGCTGTGTGTGACCTCAGCCAGTGGCCTGCAGGTAGCCCACCCTTGAACCCTTAGGGCTTCACTAGCTCCTAGAGCTGGGCTTGCAGGAGAGGAGCCAGAAGGGACTCAGCTGCCATCCTGAAAGACGGACCCTGAGTTTCCACTGCTGTGTATTAGCTTTCTGTTTGCACGTGGCAGAATGAACCAAATCTGTCTTCCCAAGCCGACCACCATAAAATGTATTCCTGCGTGTCCTTCTTACTTTTCTTTTTATCAACATACTCGAAAGCAATCAGAGATGCAGTCATTTCGAGGATAATTGATCTTGACTTTCAGGCAAGAGCCAAGAGGAGGAGGTTGATTCCTGAGAGGACGGACCTAGTTAGAAGTCATGGCTCTCCTTGATTCATTGAATGAATATTTATTAAGCACCTTCAGGAAGACACACCTCCTACCTGTGAATTTACACACCTGAGCACAGGCTCAGGATAGACTCCCCCACATGTTGTTGTCTAACTTCATCTCTTTGTGTATTGTATCATTAATAAGCTAGAGACAATGGCATACGTTGTGAACAAGATGTGGCGTCTGAACTCCACAGCCACTGGGTGTGGTCGGGATCTAATCCTAGGTGAGTTTAGATCACTGGTTCAGAAAACTTGCTATGGTTTCTACATGGACACTGGGGCAGTGGGACTACACAGGGCAGTTCCTTGTGATGGAAAGCAGGCTTCCTCCTGACCCTGTAGGTCAGACAGTGGGGGTCACTGGTGCACCGGGGATGGCCTGGGAAGGTGTGGAAGGGAGCTGGGGGATGCCCACACCCCATCGTCTCCAAGCGGGAACACTGGGCTCTTCGAGGTACACTGGCTCTTGAGATGTTAGATTCTAGTACTGGAATCAGGAATCCCAGTTACTGTATCAAGTGGATCCAATTTCCCCTTGATATCTACAAATATGAAACCTTTATGAGGTAAAAAGTTGTGATATCTTAGCAGTCCTATGTACTCTTCCTCATCCTAAACACCCCAAGGAGCCTGTCAGCTACCTGAGCAGAGCAGAAAGCAGATCCCACTGAGAAGGCCAGATACAGAGTGCTGCAAGCCAGCAAGAGCACAAGAAGGAAAGGAGCCTCAGCACCTTGAGCCTGCCTTTCTTACAGCTTAGTGTGGCTTCATCCTGGAGACTCTGAGCTCAGGTAGAAGAGGGCACGCTCCTCAGGCAGCCTCAAGGGCAGCCCCTGTCCATCCCTGTGAGTCTCACAGTCTGGTAGGGAAGACAGTCAGAGGGACAAGCTCCAGATGCTGGATGACAGTGCACATCACGTGGAACCCACTTGAGGGCGACTCGGATAATTCAAAAGCTTCCCTGGGAAGTTCCATCCAGGGCACAGCCTGAACGGTGATCAAGAGAATCAGGGGAAGGGAGGTGGGTGTGAAAGTGTATCCAACACTGGAAACCAGTGTGTACGAGGTACGAATGGAGTCAAACCATTCAGTGACTGTTTACAAACAGTTATTAGAGTAAAAGACAGTGCCATGAATTTCCCTCAAAATCCTCCCTCACTTCAAATAAGCTGAACCTAACCCTTACCCTAACCCTAAGCTTGTCCCTAGAGTTAGGGTTCCCCAGGACCAGACTCCTGTTTTCCTTTGAATCAAAACCTTAGTGGCAGTGCATCTTGAGCCGCCTGTGGGAATGAAGGAAAGGTGGATAGGCTCCAAGAAGAGCCGACTCCATAGAGCTGGGGAAGACCAGGACAGGGAAGGCTCATGGGCACCTCGAGCACTAGAGGAGGACAAAAAGCTAGTGTTGATGCTGACCAATGTGAGCAGCCCCTGTCTCTACTCAGGACAGAGGAGGGGTCAGAGGGCCAGCCAGTGGAGACCAAAAACCATTCAGAGCACGTTGATTGGGAGACGGTTCTGAAGGAGCTGTGCTTTGAATGATGTGGACAACACCCCTAGTCCAAAGCCTTCAGGAATCAGACAGCACCAGGCATCTCATCCTAGGGATCCTGCTGAAAGGAACTGGCTCCACAGAGCTGGACCCCTGGAAGGGTCCCGAGGGGGCTCGGAAGTGCCACCAAGCCAGGAATTGTGGGGAGGCCACCACCTCGAGGCTGGAGCCAAGGGAGCTATTGGGTAATCAGAGCCTGGACGCTAGTCCCCCTAGAGGTGGGGTGCAGGTGTACACATCTGTGCATGGGAAGGACCCTGGCCAGCTGCCCGGACCTCGCTCAGGGGTAAATGAGGGCTTGTTGGGGGAGTTTAAGGAAACTGGGGAAGCAAACAGCACCTGTGCTGATGGAGGCGATCACTGGGAGAGAACTGTCAGAACCACAGGCCCAAGGGAAGAGCAGTCCCTGTCCCTCCTTGACTGGGCAGGCTCCCTCAGACACTCCTACAGGCAGTGTCGGGCACAGCACTCCAGCAAAGGAGAGATGCAGCATGCAGAGAGCCCCAGGTCCTGCTCAGAAGCACAGAAAGAAGGGTGGGTTGGAGCTGAGTCTGAGAACTCCAGCCCTGCTCCCCGCTGGCTGATGTGTGAAAGGTCTGCACAGCACACGCTGGGACAAGGACACGTCCCCGACATCACATCCCAGAGCCTCACAGGAAGGTCTCCGGAGCAAGCTCCCTGGATGTGGCTTTCCCGATGCTGGGGATCGGAGCAGGTTAGCTGGTGTGCGATCATGGGAGCAAGCGACACTGAGTGACATGCTGAGACCACTGTCCTTTCTCACCTTCCACGTTTCTGATGAAGGCCTTGGAAAACCTAGCACAGCACTGAGCCCTGCTAGGACCACTGTGACCAGGACAGAGCAGGCCCCAGACTCAGACCCTCCGATTTCCCAGCCTGATAGCATTGTTTGTCTGTGTAGCTTTTATTCATTATGTGTAACTTCCAGCTCATGGGAGTTCTTGTTTTTCACTTACCAGAGATTTATTTACATTAAATGTGAGTAGATTGGCACCTACATGATAGGTAAATAACAATGGAGGATATGGATGTGACCATAAAGAGAAACAACTCAAGAAGGGGATGGAAGTGGCCCACGCTCAGGGAAAACTGCCTCATGGCCACCCACAGACCACCTTTGTCTGCACCGTAAACATTTATCCAAATGAGGGGCAGACGGTGGCAAACCTGGGGCATGGCGAGGAGGGGCTTGGCAGGTGCTTCTGCCCCAGCCGGGGAAGGAAGCCCGGTCCACCCTGGAGCCCAGCTTGGCAACCTTCTGCCCTCTTCTGGCCAGATGGACACAACCCCTTCGGAGCCCTGGGGAAGACTGGGTTTCCACTTGGATCCCAGTCCCCAAGAACTGGTCAGGCCTGTCGGTTTTCTCAGAGCCAAGCTCCCCTGATGCAGAATGACCCCTTCTCTTCTGTGTCCTTCACAGTGCTGTGAGTTCCATCCCACTAGAGTTTAGCACTCGGAAGGCAAGGACCTTGTTTGTCTCGGTCACTGTCATATTACCAGGCTCTAGGATGACACAGGGCTTAAATCAGGACAGAGTGAATGTGTGAAGATATCAATGAAAGAGTTGTAGGGTTTCTAAGCTTTCAAAACCTTGGAGTCCTTCCTAGCAGTGAAACCCTAAACTGAAGCAAAGCCACTCTGGACCCTGGGGTGAAGCCCCTTTCACCCAGCCCCTTCACCAGGCAGAGCTTAGTGAGTGGAGAAATGCGTTCTGGACTTCAGGTCTTGGGTGGTAGGACATCGCTATGAGGTGTGTTATGGTATCTGGCGTACCTCTGGGCTCAAAGTCCAGAGCACTTAGTGACTTAGTGGTAAGGGGCAGGTACGAGACCAAGCCTCGGTCTCCTCCTGAAGCTGGTGCCCTGCCACCCTCTGGGCCATGTCTCTCCCTCCAGTCAATGCTGCAGTTAGTTCAGGTCCAGCCACAGGAACAAACATCCTATCTGACGTCTGGGGCCAAGCAGATGAACAGCTGCTTGGCTGAATATTTCTTCTTCTCATTTTTCCAGCTGACAGCATGACACTGTAGTCTCCATTTTTATACCACAGAGCAATTAATTCCATGGTGTCTTCAGCAGGTGGATGCCCCTGAGGTTCAGTAATGTCCGCAGAACTTCCTTCCCAGGAACAAGCCCATATTTGGGCACTGCCTTCCTTCCCTAAGTCACAGGGGTACCTGACTGTGAGCTCCTGTGAATCATCTTGATGTCTTCAGAAGCATCTAGTTTACCCTCATAGGGAATTTTAAAGAGTTGAGGGACTTTTAAAGAATTTTAAGGTCTTTGGGTTTAAACAGCACTTAGTCCAGCTGCCTGCTTCTCCCTCACTACTTCACCCTCATTATGCCAGGGGTCTGTCGCGTGTGTCTGACAGTTGCTAGCAATGCAGAGACGGCTTAGTATCCCACCAGGCAGTCTATTGCATTGCCAGGAAGCCATCGATGTGGGCAAGTTCTTTCTGAGATGGAAAGGTGCACATCTGTAACTTCTGCTCGCTGAAACCTAGCTATCATTATTTCTGTTTCACAGATGGAGAAATCAAGGCCAAGAAAGCATGGAGCACCTTTCGCCTTGAGTAATAAGAGAGGCACATGGGAGTTGAATCAAGCCTCTCCAGCTGCTAAGCCTGTGCTCTTCCAGGCGCCCCACGGTAGCTGCCAAGTGCTCAGAAATGCTATCATCCAACGGCCTTCAGTCTCCTCGTCCCTGCTATGTGTGCTTCATCGGGACAGTGGTGGTCATGCATTGCTCTCTCCTCAGTGTTCAGGCAGGGGAAGAGCCCAGGGCACCATCTCCCCTCTCTCCCTCCGGAGGCAGCAGCTATCAGAATCTCCAAGAGGCCTGACCTGTGCGAGGAGCCAGACCCACCCCAAACTCCGACATCTCCCATATTCTCCCTGCATTCCTGCGCATGTCCATCATGGATCAGATCACGCCCACCATGCGCTTTAGCAGTGAGAAGTCAGCTACCCACACGGGGACTTTCAAAGAAAGGACTGTAGATGGATGTGTGCTGCAGGTGAGTCCACACCGGGGAAAGGTTTGAGTGTATGAAGGGCGGCTGGACGAATTCAAAGTCGACTTCAAAGGATTCGTAATGGAATCCAAAGCCTGCTGCCCAAGTGAGGCATCATGGTGACTGAGACTTCAGCCCAATCACCTACATGAAAGGCAGCTGGGAGAGAGGTAACTCCCATGTAGGGTCAGTGAGGAAGGAGATGCTTTGCACAACTTCCAAGTGCATTTTAGCAGTCGTATTTGCATGCATCATGACCAACCTATTCACTGGATTTTAAAGGCAGATTTTGAGTCAGTTCTTATTTCAGTTTTGCTTCTCTGTGACCTATCTGACAAAATGCCCTGGGTGCTCCTTCTTGTGGCTCATATTCTTCCCCAGTACACAGGGAAGGCTGGCTGCTGGCTGGTTCCTAGGAGAAAGGACAGGAAATCACCATATCTCCTCTCTGTGGCAGGCACATCTGTGAACGCAGCTGTATCATAGTGTTTTCAAGTTTGAGATAAGGTAATTGAGATTTATAGAGTTTTGCAACTTGCCAAAAATTAGGTAGACGCTGAAAGTGACAGCCAGGATTTGAATCTAGGTAGTTTGAATCTCCTTGATTGACACGTGGGAAAATCCAACAACATCTAGCAAAGTCTCTCAGGTATGGAGTGGGCTTGTTAGGCTTGAGCTGATTGCTAAGCTATAACAGCAGTAGCTAACGTCGCTTAGCTTCTCCCGGGAGCTCAGCCCTGCCCCAAGCAGTTTATATGCACAACATGCACACATGCATCTCAACTCATTTAAGCCAGCAACACTTCAAGGGAGGCAGTTACCTCATCATTATTACATTGCAGGTGAGGAAACTGAGGCAGGGAAAGCTAAACCCACATTCAGGCCAACTGCGAGTCAGGAGAAGCCAGGCCCGGGGCCTAGAGCACCCCCATCCCTACAGCAGGGGTTCTCTTCTGCCAAGTGATGCCTGCAGGCCAGCAGGTCAACAAACCACTGAGCACAGGGATCTGACTGGCAACACCAACTCATGCTTGTGGAGTCCCGGGTTCGATAGGCAGCTTCTCGGGAGACCACAGTCCCACCCGGGGCCTCCCTGAGGCAGAGGCTGGCTCGCCTGGGCCTCTCCCATCACCACCCTCCGCCTGCTTGCTGAGCCCAAGCTCCTCATGTCCACAGCCTTCCCTGAAACGCACCTGCCCTTCTGCATCTGCCGAGGTGTGCATCACTGGCATCTGACCTCTTCCCACCCAGTGTGTTCCCAGCAGGAGGAGCTCCTGTCCTGGAAGGTGTGTGGGCTCCCTTCCAGAGCTTGGGAGGTTCTGCTCCTTGGGTACATGCTCTTTCTCTCCATCTCCACCTGGCAAACTCCCACTTGCCCTTCCAGACCCAGCTCCAGCAGCCGCTAGCCCTCAGTCTTCCCTGATTCCATCAAGCAGAGCTGCCTCTCTGGCGTCCCCAAGGCCACCGTCCGGGTCGTTTGCACCCATTTCTCCTCTGCACGCATCTGTTGGCATGCTTGTCTCTGCTCACACTCTGAAGGGAAGGCAAGCGTGCCTGTGTGCACTCACATGATCCAGCACATGATGGAACTAGGAACTGAAGACATGAGTTAATGTGACAGTGGCGATCGAACCAGCAGAAGAGCTGTTAAAAAAATAAATTGGTACCAAGATTATGCCTCAGTTTCTGTCAGTTTGGGCATCACTACTCCACCCCCATGAACCACTTCACCTCAAGGTACTGAGACAAAATTGAGGATCTGAGTCTCCTGAGGCCAACCCTAGAAACGAACAACTCTGGCCAGGCACAGATGTGCTGCAGCAGCCAGCCAGGCTCCTGGGCAACATTTCTTCCTGTAGGGTGACGGCGTGCTGGCTGTCATGGGTAACAGTCCTGCGTGGAAGTTCTGAGATGCTTTTAGAGAAGAGTATTGAGCCAGTAAGTAGATTTCGAATCAATAAGCTTGCATTGAGCACTGGGGCTCTGAGAGGAGTCGTTCTCAAATGCGTTCTCCGATTGATACTAACCTAATAGGGTTTGGTTTACCAGGCCTGACCTTCCCAACAACCCTGTAAGAGAAGACCAGTCACTTCCACGTCAGAGGTGAGGACAGTCCTTCCGGTGCCTGCTGCAGGTGTAGAGAGCCAGCACTCCAGTCCGACACTCTGACTCCAAACAGCGTTCTTTCTACACTGCAGGACACAATGTTTGAGGCAGAAAAGGCAGATTTTGCTAATCAGCTTGGTAAGACAAGACTTTCTCTGGCCTGCATCTGCGTGTATGGTCTATGAAAGTTGAGCAGGGGAGACCAATCGATCACCTTTGGGCAGGGCCACCAGATCAGATGGCAGCCCACAGTCTGGCGCAGGTGGCACCCTTGGGCCCTGGCCCCAAACCTCCCCCGGGCGATCTCTCCCCTTCTCCAGACATTGCTGAGTGCGCTCTCTGCACAAACAGCCTGTTCCTCGATTCCCCTTCATTCTTCGGTGCCTTGAAGACTGAGTTTTCATCCCCACCACTGTCAGTAGAGCATATAATTTTCCTCTCTTTTGTTTCAAGGAAGGAAAGCAGCTGTTGCCCACACTGCTGAGAAGGGGAGTCCACGGTGTCCTCCCGGAAGGACAGAGCCATCTGGCCGGTGGCGCTGGGACGGCAGAGCCTGCCTCCTGACCCTCCTCGCCTGCCAGTCTGAGCGAGCACCAGGCCTTCCGCTGCGTTGGGCGCATTCCACTCTGCAAGCCAAGTGAACGAACGCGTTTGGGGCAGAGGGGTCAGGTTGCTCAGAGGAGAGGAAGAAGCAGGCCGCAGCCACACACCCATGCCTCCTCTGGCTTTGCATCTGGTTTTTGCCTCGATTCCTCCACCGTTCCCACAGACGGGAAAGCAGAGGCGCTGCTCACTGGTTCTCACAGACCGGTCACTGTCACCTGCAATCGCGCTTCTCAGGTAAGTCGCCGGTGGCCTCCCGGTCGGCCCTGGTGAGCCCTCATCTCGCCCGTCGCCTCAGCAGCACTCGATGACGAGGACCGCGCCGCGCCTTGAACCTTCTCTCTTGCATCTTCCCTTTCCTGCTTGGATTTTCCTTGATGGCTTTTATCTGTCCTTCATCCTCCTCCCTTTGCGTCTTGGATTCTTAGGCGGCACAGCCAAGTCCTCTCCTCAGCCTGCCCGTGACCCTCCTGCGATCCCACCTGTTCCACGCTTCCCAGTACCACCCTGGCCTGATGACCACTCCTTTAAATCTGCCCTGCCCTGCAGCCTGGGGCTTGTGGCTTCTTACTCCACATCTCCATTGGAGGCTTCATGAGCAGCACATTTCAAACACGCCTAAACCAGGCTAGCCACCGTGGCCGGCAAACCAGCCTCTTCCCTTTCCACAGCTTGCTTAATGGCATTCTAAGGCTGGGCATCTGCAGCCTCAGCTAGGCATTGAGTTCAGTGTCATGTCTGGCCAGTTTTGCCTTATAAATACACCTTGATGCTCTTATCTTATCCCTGCTAGTGATTGCCTTTGTTTAAAACCTTGCGATCACTCACCTGAATTATTGCCCTGGGTTGCTCTCTTCTCTACCCTCACCTCTAGGAGATCATGCCTGCAGGCACTCCAAGGTCTTCCTGCTGGACCATGAAGTCCAGGGGCTGTCTATGGCTTCCTAACAAAGGTGAATAAGGCTCTGCTCTTACCATGCACCACAAGCCAAGACATTGCCCCCTCAACCCTCACCTTTACCTCACCCTTTACCCTCGAGTAAAACAACCCTTTTTCCCAGTCGCCACACGTATTATGTTGCCTGTCTTGTCTCCTTGCAGGTAGTCCTGGAAATCTGCTGCTTTGGTCAGTGATCCCGTCCTCTGGAAAGCATTCTCAGGCTGCCCCAGGCAGGGCTTGGGGCCATCTTCTCCCCCTGGACTCGCCAGGCCTCCACCCCTCACAGCATTCACCGTGCTGTCCTGCACTTACCTGCCTGGTCCTGGGGATAACAGGGACCACGCGTCACTCACCTTCACACCTCCAGGTACCACGAAGGACCTGGAGAGCGAGGACTCACCAAACCCTAATGGAGCCACACTGGGCAGCACTGTGAGGTGTGTAGGATAAAGTATTCTAATTGAGTCAGTGAATTCACTGGCCAAACGCAAGGCCGTTCTTGGTCCAGCCTTGGCGCACGTCCACCAGAGGAGACTGAATCCAAGAATCCGGGGTAAAGGCGCCCTGCACCCTGCCTAGGCCCTTGCCCTGCCCTCTATCCACTCACACTCCTCGCCATTCCCACCACAGCCACATCTCAGCACACCGGGAATACCGGGTTCCTCAACCCTTGGGCAGTGAGACACGACGCAGACTCTTGCCTTCTGGGTAAGCCCTGTTTCTTGAACTCTTCCCCGAAGGACAGAAGTGGAGGCTGCAGGACCAGAGTGCTGTTGGAGGATGGAGAGACGCTTCCACAACTCCTTGAGCAGAACAAGCTGAACCTGGTCCTCCTCTCTTAATGTATCTGCCGGAAGCTCCTGGGATCAGCACCTGCCCCGCCTCCCTGCTTCTGTTGCTGGCTGCTCAGATTTTCTGTCTTGCTGATTTTTCCACTTCAAGCCTGGCAGCTGCCCTGCAGGATTCAAGGGGAACTCTCAGCTCCTGGCTGTCGGCACTTCGCTTGCCTTCTAAGCTGGCCTTAGCTCCCTTGGCTTCCTCTTGTGTTTGCATACAGTGCACTCCCACAGTTTGCCTTTCCTTGCACTCTCCCAGCAGTCTTGTGAGTTCGGGTTTCGCACCCTGGATCAGTGGTGGCAAACCTATGGCATGAGTGTTTCAGCAGGCACGCAGAGCCGTCTCTGTTGGCATGCAAGCCAAGCCATCGCAGCAGCTGAGCATCGGATGACAGTTTTTTCTAAATTACAACTTCAGTACTCAGGTTTAATTGCAATGTTGGCACTTTGTGATAAATAAGTGGGTTTGGGGTTGCGGTTTGGGTGCTCTGTCTCTAAACGTTTCCGCCGTCACTGGCCTAGATTGTGTATCTGTGACAGAGGAGCAGCTGCATTTGAACTCAGGCCCCTTCACTCCAGAGGCTGTCTCTTCCTGGTACTCACCGTGGAAGGGAGTTGAAGAAAGGACCCACTCGCACCTCTCGCTTGTGAACATTGGTGAACAAACACCAACATTTGTTATTCTCAGGTATTAGATGTTTCTGCATTTCTACAAGAATTTTCATTTTACAAGACAATTTCTCATTTGGTAGTTATTTCATCTGGTCTTAACAACATAGAAATGGGAAAAAATAAAGAGATCCGTTCCCCTTCCCTCTACAGCACCCAGTTCACCATTGTCCTGGATTCCTCTTTCCATAGGACACCCCATTCTCTAGGCCAAAGTGACTTGTTTAGGGTTATAGACATGTGGTTCAAGCCAGACCAATCGGAGTCTTCCACAGGGCTTTCTGCTGGAGTTTTTGGAAAGATTTATCACCATCGGAAATAAGCTCTGAATCTAGGGTTTCTGTGAGATGAGGTTCCTACCATTTTCTTCCTTTCTCACTGAAAAATCCGGAGAACTGGAGAGCAGACTCAACTATTCCTATTAAACTCCACAATCTGTCTTACCTAATTTTGTGTTTTTCTTGTCTTTGAATGATAGGAGATAAACTACCTTTTCCTTTAACTTACATTGGATTTTTCTCATTTGCACCCAAAGTACTTTAATTTCTAACAGATAAATCTTGAGGTTTATACATCTATAAAGTTTTCATAGTTTTAAAGTAGAATAGATGATACTGAAAAACTAATTCTTCTATCAAAATCCATACACCTGGAAACCAATGGGGTCCGAAGGCTGCAGGCTTTGCCTGCCGCATTATCTGCCCCCTTTTCAATTCAGGCCGGCGACCTTGAAACCGAGCATTCTCATCCTGCAACCTGGCCCCGACTCAGCATTGATTGCTCCTCTTGTTTGTCCATTAGCAAACTCATGCCTTTCTGACTGGCTCAAAATCAGGCTGCTCCTCTGTGAAGGGCTCTGGACAGACTGAGCAGTGAGGTGAATGCTGTTTATATCTGGCCCTTCCTGGACACTCGAGAACCTACTGGTCAGCCTCTGCCGGCTGGTCAGACACTTCTCTCGTATTTCCCCTGCTTCTCTGCTGCCCGAGGACCTGTGGCTCCCAAGGACCTTGCAGAGCAGAGGTGGCTGGTTTCACAGCTTTCGAGGCAATTCATTCCAGGGCAGATGAGGGCTTGACAACTGAGTGTGAGCCTCTGTGGGAAACAGTCTCTTCCAACTTAAGGTCAGGGCTACTCCTGCATAGGGTTCTGGGGAGGGATTCTTTTGGAAAGTGGATGTTGGAGTCTAAATATTTGTAAAAATGGAGCCAGGGCTTTTCTTCCAAGCCCTGAGGTCTCCCTGTCATAAGCAGAAGCTACCACAAACAGGGCTCTGCAATCCTGGTCTTTTCTATAGCTTCAGTGTTGGACCACTTGTCAAAGCTCCCCTTTACCTTTGCACACTTTGCATTCCATTCTGTTTCATCCTCACATTTCCTACGTAACCCAAATGCATCTTCATCTACTGCAATGAAGAGGGGTGTGCTAGACCTTCAGGTGCGCCCTGCAGTTTGTCTTTGTGCTGCTGGTCATGGCTTAGCCTAGTAGTTGATGATGAGGCAATTGCTGTTTTCTCTGTGCTGAGGTTTCTTCCTGAGTAGAAATTTTCATGGAAACTGGAGTCTGGAATTTGGACTTGGGTTGTGCGTCTGGCTTTCCAGCCAGTTCCAGACCCAGCTCCTTATGTCTTCCCATGTTCCTTGGAGTAACATTTTTCTTGCTAACCACATACCTGCATCTCATTCTTCCTAGGAGGGAAGCATTCCTGAATGTTGGTCTGAAGAATAACTATGGTAATAAGAACAAAAAATATGTGCCTCCATATACATAGTGTACAGTGAAGCCTGCAAAAATATTTTTACCTTTATTTTCACATTTTATCCAAAAAACCACCTATAGAGAGAAGACTTCGTTCCTTTTTCATATATGAGGAAACTGAAGCTCATAGAGCTCAAGCATGAGGTTCATTGACTTGTTTACCTTCTAGGCGCTAGATGCTGCATAGGGCAGCAGAAGCACAAATGTCATGCGTGTAAATGTCAGTTAACTGCCACTCTATAACAGAGCCACGGGCGTTCGGGGGAATCAGCTGTGCGTGGAGCCGGAGCTGGCTGGGCTAGAAACGCTGGCTCTTGGAGAAGGCTTATCAAAGAGTGAGGAGAAGGTGACTGGCAGATGGAAGCAGACAAGAAGCTGGATCGAGAGCAGCTGGGCCATCTCAGGGTTCCAGGTAGTAAGGAGGAAGGCTGAGCACCCAGCAGGTGTCCTGATATTTGGGAGAAGCTTTGGAGACCCGGACCCTGAGGGTCTGGATGGAGGACGCCGAAGGGGAGCTGCAGAGCACTCGAAGCTGCCTCCTCTTCCTGAGAGCTCACCGCCAGCCCCGAGGCTCCCTCCTCCCTCACCCACCGTCCCTTTCTGTGGTCAGTTCTGCTCATCCCGCCTCCCGCGCATCTGCCCGCCCTTCTCTCGCTCCAAACCCTCCTTTAGCTCAGGGTCCTCCCACCTGGAGAAGTGAAACGGTATGTGGCTTCCTTTCAACCTCCTCTCACCTTCTCTCCCCAGGGCTCTGAGATGAATTGCCTGTCATAGAGGCACAGAGTGACAGTCAGTTGGTGTTGACGCATGTGCTGTCTGTGTCTCCGCTGCCCAAGGCAGCATCTAGCGCCTAGAAGGAAACAGGTCAATGGCTCACACTTGCGCTCCATGGACTTTGGCTTCCTCCTACACGAGGCCCAGCTGTCATTCTAAAATGTGGTAGAAGCACTGATTGTGGAGGGTGATGAGATTTTGCTTAAATTTGCTCCGATGATAGGGTGTGAGAATGGAGCAAGGTGGCCTCTGAGATTCTGGTCACCTCAGCTGTAAGTGGCACGACAGCGGGGTGTGCAGCCAGAGCGCCTGGGGACAAGGAGCCACAGCTTGGATCCTTTTCCCACCAGGCCCCCTCTGCCTGACCCCTTCTTCGCTCCCCAGGCTGTGAAGCTGGAGAAAGCCCCCAAGTAGCTGCTCCAGGGGTTCTGATCGCTCCGAGCCTCAGACATGGGTTGAGCCACGCATCCAGGCAGCTGTCTGTTATTTCTCAAAAGCCCAGCCCTGGGTGGCGGCCAACTCAGGCCTCTGCCTCAGAGGTGGGTGGGCCTCACTGTTTCCAGGGCCAGGTCCGGAGCACGGATGATGTGGGGCCGGGAGTGGGGTTGAACCTGAGCCTGAGCTCAGATCCATTCCGCCTTTTCCTACCGGGTCTGCACTGCTGGTCACCTGACAGGGAGGATGGTGGTCCACTTCCATTTCACGGTTCCATCTTGGGTAATATCATGCCTTAGTGTACAGTTCCACTGTGACAGCCTCTGTTGATCTGGCTTCAAACTTGCCTTTCCACTCTTCCCTTCCAGCTGTCAATCACCTACTCCCTGAGCTCTAGCCCCACTGAAACCCCAGTGGTTGCATGGTCTCTTGCGAAGGTCCAGGCCTCTGTGCTTTGGTTTGCATGTGCTGGCCTTGGTTTCTCTCTCTCTCTCTCTCTCTCTCTCTCTCTCTCTCTCCTTTCTCCTCTCTTCTGTGAGACAAGTTAGAAATATGTCTGCCTGTCTCATGCTGAGGCAGAAAGACCCAGGGCAAAGTCTCCCTTCCCTGGGAGACCTCCTGACCGCCATAGGAGATTCCACTGCTCTCCTCGGTGTCAGCACTCTAACCACTGTATACTGCATAGGTGTGAGATCGTTTTGCCTAGTGACATTTCCCAATTTGATTTTACATCTATCCACTCTGTTACACAGCGTATTCTGCTGAACAGGCAGGATTGGCCACAAAGCAAGTGTTTTATATCAGATAAACAATACCAACATTAGTTAGTGGAAACAGATAAGATACGTGAATGAATATAGGAAAGGTGTGCAGGCAGAGGGAGCATCAGAAGATAAGGAGGAAGAACTGCTGGAGAGTGAGGTCCTGATCACACAGTGAGAACCGATGTGCACACGTACAGACGGTGCCCACATGGGGATTTAACAAAGCTGCACCCTGGTGACAGCCCCACCCATGATGCCAATGCTGGAGGAAGAGACCTGTCCCAGTCCATACGCTGATGACATACGTCAGACACTGCCAGCACCTGGTGAGCTTTGCTCTGGACTAGAGTGAGCAATGCCATGAACTTCGAGGATCTTCATGCCCTAAAGAGCGACCCAGTTCTGCACTGGAGGCAGGGGCACCGCCTCCTCCCAGCCCCCTCTGTCTACTGGACCGGAACCACTTCGGGGCTTCTCAGTTTTCTCTCTCAACGTCCTGCTTGTAGGCAGTAGCATCGTGGCCTCAGGACAGAGAGGGAACTGCATAGTTAAATCAGAATTTCTGCTCTCCACATCTCTGTAACCCAGCCCAAGTCTGGCTCGGAATCAAAACTTAGTAAAGTTTGAAAATTATGCCTGGCTGAATGATAGCTACTGTCCAGAAAGATAAAACCCAGATGTCTTAAGACAGACATTAAAAGGGATTTACTTTTTATAGAACTCTACTAATTGTTAAGGGCAGATGAAATGCTTTTCAGCCACTGATTTGTTTTCCTGTTTAAGATTTGATGGTGATCTCTGCTGGGTGTGTCCTATCGCTCCTATTTTGTGGATGAGAAAACTGAGGATCTCATAGGTTATATAACTTGTTTGCAGCCATGAAAACAACCGATGGCAGTGTTAGCATTTAGATAAAAAAATCTTTGTTCAAGCCCATGTTATATCAGTAGCCACAGAGCTTCTAGGATCACAATAATAAAATCAGGAGGGATAAGGTAAACTTGGGGATGAGACTTAAGTTGATGATGAAAAGAAACTGCTGTATAGCTCCCATTCTGTCACCTTACCTACCACATCACAAATTGACTGAGAGTCACCCACAAAAAAGAACAAAGCCGACACCACATTGCTTAAACTCAGAATAGAAATCAGAGGTTTTCTCTCATATGTGCACAAACTCATGCAAAACCAACAAGAGAGAGAAAACAGGTTACAGTGATACTACAGGTGCCTTCTTAGTGGTTAGAGGAGCAGGTGCTGGGATCTAGAAGATCCGAGTTCAAACAGAACCCTGCTGCCTTCCTGCTGCTGTGGTGGTCATTTCCCTGCTCTGAGCCTGTGTCCTGGTCGGGGAAGGAGTGTGGCAACCTCAGCTCACTGTGTGGCAAATTTAAGTCTGAAAACTACGCACATAACATCATGACGTGTGCTATAGACCCTGCAAATGTTCAATGCAAGCTATTTTTATTATGTTGTATTCAAATTGCCTGTGGATATACATGGCAGGCACAAGAGGGAGATACTTAGGAAATATTAATGTAACGTCAAGGTTCAAAATCACAAATCACAAACCTTAGAATGATCACAACTATGCAACCCTGAAAATGAAAAACACTAAAGGGAAATGCATCAGAATTATTTGCAAACTGCTTTAGTGAGGTTGCTTCTTTTCCCTCTTCTGTATTTTCTAAATCTATAATCAACAGGAAACATTTTACTAATGGAAAAATTTGATTTTTCGTATTTCTTTTGGCTGCATGCTTATGTTGTCTCGGTTGTGGATCCTTATATTGCCTTCAAGTGAGCAGAGAAGTTTGGAAACTTTTGTGAACACAATACCAAGGGAAGGAGTCAGAGTCGGCAGATCTGCCTTGCCAACAGTTCGCTGTGCTTGGCCGGCCCCTGGGGCCCTGCTATGGGCCCGAGGAGGTGGCTGGATGTGGCCCAGGATGGCGCTCCCGAGGGCTCTCCGAGGCCAGCAGCCCAGTCATCTTTGTGCTCCACCCCATGAGAGCACAGAAAAGTGCCAAGCATGGACCAGGCTGGCTGGATGCCACAC